GAAATAGCACAACATGGCAAAACACAGATTTCGTAGAATCTACTGATTTTCGTGCAAATCTACTGACTTTTTGGGGATCAATCTGCTGACTTTTTTTTTCTCCGTCTGGCAACACTGCCCACCACATACATACGCACACATTTATTATACAGCGAGGTCCACTCTTAGAGAGAACACGCGGACGCACGTGGCCTGCGGATATTCGGCGTAGACCCACTGAGCTCCAGAGGCGGTGCTTAATCGGCGTCGCCTGCCAGCGCGGCCCGACTGGGCAGGTGGAGACGCAATGAGCGCAAGATGCACTGGAAGCCGCCTGTCATCCGTCTTGACTGCTACTGGACTCTGAGCCCAGCATCCAGTATGGTACTGAGCGCCAGAATTGCGTTAGCGGGTTCCTTACACTTCCGTGCTCACTGCCAGACGGAGAAGATATATATTATTACAACTTCTCCGTTATCACTTGGTTTATTTTGTGGTCAACAGCGCAGTGGTTGTGAATATATCCAGGAAAAGTCAGTCTCGTAAAGAAAGCCCAGTGCATGGACTATAAGCCTAGCCTGGTATCTCTATTACTTTACGACGTGTTGACCTCCAAATACGTATGCAACCAGCCCTAGCCAATGAGGATTTTATTTCAATACTTACTGCTTGTTTCTTGACCCACCTTGTCATCCAACCGTAACAACGTATTTTTGTCTCTCTGTTAAATACTGGTCCCAGAAATGAACAGCAGTTCGTACTTCGACTACGTTAATCTTCGTCAATTTTCTTTTTAAAATGGCGGCAGCCGAATCATGTGCGTTGATTAAATCACAATGAAGTTAAAATAGCAACATTTGATTATTTTACTTACAAAAAATATTCTGCAGGATCGTTGGACCCTCCCAGCCTCGCTTCAGGGGATAAACTCGATATCGGCTGTTACTGCGAGACCAGATGCAAGGGCCTAGACGACTCAATGAAACGCGACCTGCTTACTAAGCTATGGGCCCCAGACAGCAATTATAAGTTTCCTGCTGTCCAATCTGGAAAGGGCTGGAAAAGGAAGTTTCAGATGAGCTGGCTGCAAAGATGGCCTTGGTTGACTTACTCGCACACCCGCTCTGGAGTTTTCTGTCCAAGTTGCGTGCTTTTAGGCCAGGGGACTCTAGACAAAGGAGACCATGTCAAGCCTGGCGCACTTGTAACGGCGCCTTTCACAAACTGGAAGAAAGCCATCAAAGTGTTCAAAGCCCACTAAACAAGTAAGCACCCCTTGGACGCTCGGGTGTCCGTGAACAACTTTCTTCAAACTACATCTGAAAGCAGGCCGAACATATTGAGCCAGATCGACCACCAAAGAAGACGGTTGAGAGCAACCGCAAGAGACTTGTGCGTGTGGTAGACGCCATCGCCTTCTGCGGAAGCCAAGGCATTGCATTGAGAGGCCATAATGACTCGGGACCTTTGATGTGGTCCCGAGTCATTATGGCCTGGATGTGCAGCAACAGCTGACTCAGATAATGAGCATGTTGAGCGTGCTCGCACCACTCAAACAGCAAGTCGATGAGTTAGTTACAATGAAACAAACTGTGATGGACATAGAGAAGTCTGTGCAACCAATGTCAGACAGCTATGATGAGCTACTTAAGAAAGTAAAAGACCATGACAGTGAGATCAAAGATCTAAAAAAGAGGGTCAGTGAACTTGAAAACGAAAAAAAGAATGACGAAACGAATCAACTAAAAAAAAGAGATAAACAAGCTGGAACAATACGGACGTAGAAATAACCTCGAAGTAGTACATGGACTGGCCGAATCTCTGAACGAAAACCTACTAGAAAAGCTGAACAAAATCGCCGACCAGATAGAAGTGCCCAGACTAACCACAGATAACTTAGAAGCAGTTCACCGCATCCCCACTAAAACAAAAGAAAACACCCATGGTGATAGTACGCTTTATCAACCGAAACGATCGAGATGCGTGGCTTAAAAATAAACAGAAACTGAGGAGTGGAGCAGAGGTAGATAACGTCTATCCAGAAGAAAACTTGACCGCTTCAAACCGAAAGTTGTTCTTTGATGTCAGAACAAAAGCAAAACACCTCGGGTACAAGTTTATCTGGCATAAAGAAGGATGCTCGTATGTGCGAAAACGAGAAGGCGACCCGACTCTAAGAATCGAGAATGAAAGTGACCTTGCAAAAATTAAATAGGGAAGTACATTCACCATATTAGACATGGAAAGGAAACAAACGTGTCTTTCTTTTGAAAAATGGTGGGATAGAATAAACGCTACTGTTAACGAGTTTTGCTTTGTTCTTCTACACACCAATGTGCGCAGTCTTAAAAAACATTTTAATGAAATAAGCAGTATGATAGACCCTTATCTGGACAATTTAGACGTAATTGTATTATCAGAAACAAATATTTCATCTGATGAAGAAGCCTTGTTCTCTCTAGATAACTTTGAAACATTTTCGCATAATAGAGACGGGAAGAGAGGAGGAGGTGTCATGATCATGATAAATCAAAAATGGAAAATAACCAAATACGAAAAAGTAAACTTTTGCTCAACGGAGGCACTACACATTGAAATAGAATACCACAGAAAAAAAACTATACGATAATATTGTTAAAATATTCAATGATATTTATACAAAGTCAACTCAAAGATGCAGTACGAAAAAACGTAAACAACAGAATCAATGGATAACTAAAGAAATTGATGACCTGATCAAAGAAAAAAAGAAAGCTTGGCAACTACTGAAAAATTTTTCTAATAATAAGAAGTACAAAGAAAACAACAGAATAATTAGGAATAAAGTTACAGCATTAATAAGATTAACAAAAATAAATTATTACTGGAACAAATTCTCTGAGACAAAAGATACAGCAGAATGCTGTTCCTTGGTAAACCAACTGTTACAACGAAAAAAGAAAAAAACGACTGAAGACACTATTCAAACAAATTTCGGTCCTGAACATGACTTAGGGATACTAGCAAATAGTTTTAATACAGAATATGTGCAGCCAATTGAAACTTTATATTGTACGACAACAGAAAGGCAACCAAATCAAATGAGAAATAATGATTCAATATTTTTCCCCGATATGGTGACAATGATCTAATTGAAATTGTAAAGCAATTAAAGGCTAATAAGGCAACAGGGTTTGATCAAATTAGGGCTAGAGATATTAAATACCATATCACTATAATGAAACCTGTCCTATTACAGTTGTACAATCGTATATTTTCTAGCGGCATCATCCCAAAAAAGCTTAAAACATCCGTTGTTCGGCCTATATACAAGAAAGGTGAGAAAAATAAATTCCTAAATTATAGACCAGTTTGTATCCTTTCTGTGATAAACTATATAATGGAAAAATATATTAATACAGTTCTTAGGTGCTATATCACTAAATATAACCTACTAACACACAATATGGATTCAGGGAACATATAGGAACCAGTGACCTTCTAGAAGACTTTTTTGACTATGTAAATGGAAACATCGACGCCGGTAATTATGTTCTAGCATTATTCCTAGATTTTACGAGGGCTTTCGAAACAATCAATCATGATATCTTAATGGATAAACTATATAGTATTGGAATTCGAGGGAAAACATATGATTTATTTCGGAATTATCTTGCTGATCGATTTCAGGTAGTACGTTTAGGCTCAAAATATAGCAAGGAAATTAAGGTAAAACAAGGAGTACCACAAGGTACAGTCCTCGGTCCACTACTCTTTAATATATATGTTAACGAGATAGCACAGGTTAGCTTAAAAAGTAAGCTCCTTCAATTTGGAGATGACACGGTAATTGTATACGCACATAGAAATTACGAAATAGCGGCAATGACTATACAAGATGATATACATTAAATTATTCAATGGTACCGTAAAAACCAAATAATTTTAAATGTTCCTTAAACTCAAGTAATATGCTTTAGAGATCCAAGAAAAAAAATCATAAATGAATTTCCAATAAAAATGCATGATGAGAACTGCGACAACTGCTCGTGCATCCCGCTAGAATACGCTGATAATGTAAAATACCTGGGTATGCACATAGACAAATATGTTAAATGGGATATTCACATAGACCAGGTTTGCAAAAAATTAAGGGTATTAATGGCCCATATGTACCACATCCAAGAACTAGTACCGCGATCCTTACTTAAAATGATATACAATTCACTGGGTAAATCCGTACTTCAGTATGGAATAACAGTTTACGGGCACTGTGCCAAATATTTACAACTAAAGATAGAATCGATTCAAAAAAGGATAGTTAGGAATATTGGGTACCGAAGCAAAGAAACTAATTTCTCAGATTATATGCATAAAGAATTAGGAATATTACGTTTCAGAGATCAAATGAAGTATGATATTATTATAAAGCATTTTTTCACCAATAAATATAGGCGCGAAATTAAAAAAGAAAGGACATTAAGACCTAATAAAAAAATTGTTGAACCATTTGTAAGAACAAGATATGGAGAGGCCACAAGGAAATATTACATACCTAAGCTTTATAATACATTACCCGATGAGCTACTAGAAATAAAATCCCCTAGAATAAAAAAATAGCAAAAAAGTGGATAATTGAACAGGGAAAAAAAGATTCTTAAAAGGTAATAGGTATAACCGATGAGTATCCCCGAAACGCAGGATATAAAAGGTTGTTATTGTGTTCTATTATTAGAATTGTCTCGTAAGTCGTGAATTCTGTTTTTCTTTACGGTATGTAAATGCTAATTCAATATGATTCGATGGGTTTACACATGTACTCATCAAAGTAGGCGAACTAATATAAGCTGTAGAAGGAGGTGGAAGTGCAGTAATAGGTACTAATATTGGTATGTTTTGTTATTTTTAGTTATGTGTGCAATAAAAATGCAGAGGCTCCTGTCGCGTCCCACACACAAGCCATCATTGGCTTATGTGGACTTTATATTTTATTTGTTTCAAACAAAGTAAATAAAGATGGTTTTTGTATTGTATTGTATTGTATGCTCGACAAAGTTCCAGAAGAAAACGATGGCAATTTCCGAGCTTTGCTACGGAGGAGGGGGAAATGTGGGGATGCCTCCCTTGAAACCCACTTCACCACGGGATCAGCGAACGCAACGTACATCAGTCCTCCTACTCAGAACGAGCTAATTGACATTTGCGCAAATAGTATACAAGACAGCATCGTCAAGAGGGTCAACGAGGCCAAGGCCTTTAGCGTACTGGCTGACGAAACGATGGATATCGGTGGTCTCGAGCAAATGTCCGCGTGTGTCCAATACGTGCAAGATGATAAGGTTCGTGAAGAGTTCCTTGGGTACGCTCAAGTGCATGATCTCAGCTGCAGATCACTGGCAAAAGAAATCATCAAGTTTCTGAGCGGCGTGGAAATCGATCTGCGATACCTGAGAGGCCAGGGCCACGATGGGGCCGCAGCAATGTCAGGACGGCTGAACGGGGTCCAAGCTGCGGTATTGGAGTAGCACCCATGGGCATTGTTTCTGCACTGCGCAAGTCACTGCCTCGACCTTGTGCTATGTAATGCAGCCACAGTTCCCAATAAAAAACAACACAAAAAAACTGCATGAGCACGGTCAGAGAGATTTGCTCATTCTTCGGCAGCTCTCCAATCAGAAGTAGAGAACTGGAGGGCAAGGTTGGACTCCTTCGCCCGGAGTCCCCGAAAAGGCGCCTTGTGTCGCTTTGTGAGACGAGATGGGTGGAGAGACATGATTCCATATTGACAATCATCGAGTTGCTGGAACCCATTGCTGCCGCTCTCCAGCAGTTGAAGCAAATACCGTGGAAGCCAATACTGGCAACTCCCGCGGAAAACGGGCGAAAAGTGATTGCAGCGCCCCTGGCGAGCTCGGAGTCTCCGCTAGCAGACAAATTCTTCAAAATGCATTGGTTTTGCCTATCTCCGTGCGAGGTGACCAACGAAAAGAAATTGTCACGGACATTCGCTGCTTTGAAAGTTAAAAAATGGGTGCCAGCCCATGAGTGAAGGACATTCTCTTCGCGTGGGAAAGATGTTACAGCTTCCTTGGTGCAATTTCGGAGTTCTCCCGAAGAAAACATTGTCACAACTTATGTAAGCCAAGCAAAACACGAATGTATGCCTGCGCGCTGTTTCGTGAAAAAGGGAAATGTACAAACATTTCAGAACATAGCTTCGTTTCAACTTTATTGTTCTTATCAGTCAATTCGTTTTGTCGTTGCAATTCCCATTTCTCATGAATGTCTTGCTTATAACCGTTTCGTCGAACAGGCGAGCTGGCTAATCCCGTTAAGATCGTCTCCGGATGAAGAAGCAGAAGTCAATTTCGAACCACGTACGTTACGGCGATGTCAATATGCTCCGAAATAAGTCGTTGTGCATATGCAAATCTGACGCGATTATAGATTAACAAAAGCGGAGTTACGAAAAAAGCAGACTTCTCGCGCTTGCAAAGAAAGAAGGGGAGAGCGTCGTAGCCCCGCGAAAAGAGGTGATTTCAGTCACGTTATTAACAGTGCACAAATTCCGATTGTTAGCGCGGGGACGACCAACATCTTCTGCTTCGCTGCTTCTGTACTTCTACGATAAAGGCCGACACCCGTTGAACCGTCTCCACTCTTTCCATTTTTGAGTCGTCTTTCTTTTATATTTTTGAGGCGACGCCACTCTGCCGCGTTATTTCTTCCTCCTGCTTATATGTTGCTGTGTATATTTTTGTTTTCTTTTTGCTTTTTTTTTGCCCGACGTGTAAACCATCGCGTATCCTTGCTTTGTTTGGCTTAGTTTTTACTACCTTTCCTTCGCTTCGGCGCTTACTACCCCCGGTTCGTCTGCGCTAGGCCCGGGCATTTTGAGGGCCGTCTGCAACCTCGCTGTTGTTGTTGTTCTTTTCTTCCACTGTCGTCTGCGATAACCTCCTATTTTCGCCTTCGATTGAGTTTCTAATCCAAAATCGTCATATGTGCTTTTTGATATTTATTAAATATATTAAGAAGCGTATAAGCTCGTTATACATTTTTATTCGAATTTTATTTGTGTACTCCGGCCGGCATGTCTGCTACGGGTCATCGTTTGTTGATCAACCGGCCGCATTCGAGCATACACCAGAGCATACTTAGAGATGGCAGGCATGCTATGTGCTGCCTACCATTGCAAGAACAAGTTTGTGCGATGTGGTGGAAAATCTTTCTTCTGCTTCCTACTTCAACCTACGGACACCTACGTCAACAAGTACTTGAATGCACTTTTAAACTGCTTCGTCAAGCGAGCGAACGAACAACCCGCCAAAGTCGCTGGAAAAAGAAATTCGAAAGCGAAAAAAGGTTACTCACTGCTAGCGCATATAGAAGATTGCTGCCTGCGACCAAAACATTTCTGCGACTTTTTTTTACCGGGCAGTGTGAGCTGCACTACGTTATTTATTTCCCCTGTTTTGTTTTTAGTTCGTACCTACGCCGCGAAAGCAAATAAAGAAATGTACAACAAGCAGCTAAAAAAAAAAGGGACGCTTTCTTCTTTTTTCATTAGTTTCGTCTGTTGCTTCCGCTTTGTTTGTCGTAAACTCAACACCGGTGGCGACTAGAGTGGCGACTGTTGCGATCACCAGCTATTCATTTGCTGCTTTCCATTTTTCTTTCTTTTTTTCTATAAGCGCCGCAACGTCGTCGTCGTTGAAATAGTTTTTTTGCTAGCTTCTTTGTTTTATTCGCCGTTGTTCCCTTCTCTTTCCCGTTTCTTTTTATTTTCGTCGAGAATGCGGACAACATTTTTTCTGCAAAGTTCGGTAAGTGTTTGCACGGTCATTTTTATCCTTACTTTTTGTTTTGTTTTTAAGCTCCAGCAGCTCGTGCGCTTGCTCTGGTAATATTAACATGTCGTTTTTGCATGTTTTAATGATTACGACGTAGTTCTAGTAGCTGAACGCCTTTTTTCCGCTTCCCAGACGCGTTTCAAACGCGTGTGATCCCCTGAGAGGCGTTTGAGACCGCTAAATAAACTGCTCTATCTTTGCTTATGCGCGCGTTGTTATTCGATTGTCGTTGCAGTTGCGATCAGTGGATTCCGCTTTGCAAGCGGACTGACCGTAATAAATGGTTTCTGCTGTTAGGGTGACGAAACGGGGCTCGTAAAGCTCGAGGACGTCGCGGAGCCCATACTTTTCCATTGCGTCGACTGCTTCCGTAGACTCCGAGTCCGCTAGAGGCGCCACTGTCACGTTCGCCGCCGCTCCTATGTGTTTTCGGAGGAGTTTCCAGTATTGGCGAAGCTATATCGTATTTGGTTGAAGGAGAGTGGAGCTTTAAACAACGCATCTCGGGCACATATGCTTTTGCTTTCAGCATCATCCAGTGCCTTCCTAATCAGCCTGCACACAGCGGCTAAGGCTCTTGCGTTGACACTACCCCTGTCGAAGGCACTGCACTCTGTATCAATCGACTTGCCATCAGCCCTTTCTTACGTAAGGGAAGTAAACGCAGCATTAGGACAAATGCGTCAGAACGTGGAACATGAGTTCAAAGGCATATTTGACGGAGCCACGAAAGCAGCGGAGGTATTTGACACAGTGATAGAGCTACCAAGACGACGGGGTAACATGAGCACATTAAACGACCCGGAGTCTTTCTATCAGGTTCAGGTCTGCGTACCCTTCTTGGACTATTTAAACAGCCAACTGAAAGCAAGATTTGAAAAAACATGAGTTCGTTCTATCTTTTTTAAGCTGCGTTCTTCCTTCGCAGGCAGCTTCTAACCTCCAAGACCTAGTTGCTGAAGACACGCTTCTCGACTTCTACGCGGATGACGTTGACAGGAGCCAGGCAATCGGCGAGCTAAGGCTGTGGCGGAACAAGTGGGAAAAGGGCAGAAATGCTCCAGCGAGTACCCTTCAAGCTTTCGACGCGCGTGATCCCCTGTTCTACCCGAACATTCGAAAAATTCTTCAGATGTTGGTCACGCTCCCCATGACGACGACGAGCGCAGAGCGCTCATTCTCCACCCTGAAACGCCTGAAGACCTACCTGCGCGCCACAACATCTCAAAAAGCGAGGCTTGTAGGACTTGCCCTTCTGTATTCGCACCGAGAAGTGACGGTTGATGTCATTAACGAGCATGAATCGAAGCTAACAAACGTCACTTCAGGTGTATCTCAGGGTTCCGCCCTTGGCCCACTGCTTTTTCTAATTTTTATTAACGACCTCCCACATGACATCTCCTGCAAAATACGACTTTTCGCCGATGATTGCGTCATCTATAACACCATCTCAACAGACACTGATAATCTTTTGCTTCAAAATGATCTCACAAAAATTAACGACTGGTGCGGAAAATGGCTGATGTCGCTTAACAAATCTGTCTAAGCTAATCCATTTTACCCACAAGAAAACTCAATTACGCTTCCATTATACCCTAGACAAAGACGTGATTGAATCAGTTTCAATGTATAAATATCTTGGCCTTAGACTAACGCCTGACCTCTCATGGAAACCTCACATCGAAGCCGTTTCTGCAGAGGCTTCCCAGACCCTCGGATTCATCAGACATAACCTGCGAGACGCCCCTTCCCAAGTCCGAAAGTTGGCATATGAAACTTATGTAAGGCCAAAATTAGAATATGCATCTGCAATCTGGAGTCCTCATCAAGTCTATCTAATCAATCACCTGGAGTCAGTACAAAACCGAGCCGCCCGATTTATCTTATCATCGTATGACCACTTCACCAGTGTCTCTTCTCTAAAAAGTCAACTCGGGCTTATACCGTTACTCATTCGAAGGAAACTCTCCCGTTTATGCCTTCTTCATAAAATTTATTATCATTGCTCAGAACTAAAGAACGCCCTGCTCTCACCCCCGATAGAATACCCTCCCGCCTAAACAACTCTTGTGCAATAAAACGTATTTCTGGTAAAACTAACTCATTCAACGAATCCTTCCTCCCATATGCCATCACACAGTGGAACCAGTTGCCATCCTCCATCGTCAGCACCTCTGATGGAACAGTGTTTTACGATAATTTACTAGCCCATTATGTATGATTTCTCATGTTCTTGTTTATAGCTACTGTTATTATTCTACTACTGCGTCTGCTATTGCATTCTTCGTTCTACTGCCCTCCCCTTATGTAATGCCCTAACCGGGCCCTCAAGGTGAAAATAAATGAAATGAAATTGAGGTGATTCGCCGTTTCGCACTGTCCTCCTAATCCGTCGCCTTGACTTTCTTTTGTGAACGGGCTTCGGAAACCATAGCTTTTTCTAGGATTATGCCGTACTATCATTTAGAACCAAGTTGCCTTGTTTGAATTTTATGCAGAGCCAATATTTTATGTCCACCCCCTCTGTAAGGCATGCCCCTGGGCCCTGAGGGTATTGAAATAAATAAATAAACAAATAAATAAATACATCTACACCAACGAACAAATCACGTGATATTTTTGTTGGTTAGATGAAGTTATAATGGGGAGTAATTTATGGCGGTGCAGCTTTCCAGTGTATAGTCTATCTGTCAAGGTGTTCCGCGTTTCTACTTATACATCGTTTTTTTTATGAGACCCGATGACTGGAGGCTTCGTGCATCGCAGTCGTGCTTTATAAAATATTTGTTTTTATGATTGTTGTTTTCTGCTAACTCTGGTGCCTTCTGTTGACGTGACTTGTAAATAAAAAAAAAGTAAAATGCAAATGCCTTCCTAATGAGGAATTTCCGGGGCATCTTTTCTGCGCATCGTAATCATCCCAAAACCAATATGACAAGTTTATTTTAATTATTTAATAGAAGAATGCAAAGTTTTTTAGGAAAAAATTAAAATGATTTTATTTCCTCTTGGACTTTCTTTTCTCTTTTTATCTTGTCCCCCTTCACTCCCGTTGAACCGCCCCCCCCCCACCCCCCCCCCCCCCCCCCCGAAATGAAATCCTGCGTACGCCACTTGGGGGGGGGGGGGGGGGGGGGCGTAGTATGGATGGCTAATCGTAAAGGTCAGTGGCCTGATTAAGAAATATTTGTTAATTAAGTTTCTAAATGGTGAACATAAACAGATGGTTCCAATTAGAATGTTGCTGAGCGTGAACGCAGACAATTAAATCAGTAATTTTTCGAAATATTTTGAGGACATGAGAAGCCCAGTAGTGCGCTAAAATTACCACTCGTGCAGCAGGAGCAAGGCTACCGGTGTGATAACGGGCCAGTGCGATTTTTTTGTTTCTTAGTATAACCCCAGACTTGTACATGTTGCACAAGTGTTACCTTTAGAGCACTACTATGCTTCCCACGCGCTCAAAAGTATTTCTAATATTGATCTAGTGATTTTCAATGACGCTGTGCAGGTTTCTTATTTAAATGTAAACATTTTCGACGGACATCCGTCTGGTTAGGAATGATTAATAAATCTTCAACTTAGAAACTCTAACCAAGCTTTATTAAAAAGGAAAAATCCCGACGTTTCGGAACCAACTCGGTCCCTTGATTACAGGTGACTGTTTTTGTCCCGCGGAACGGCCTGCCCACGAACCCGAACACCCCCGGGTGTTTTCCAGATTATCCCTCTTAACCCCGAAACGTAGCTGCTGGGAAGGGTCCCCGTCGACCGGTTTATGTTGCCACGTGTGCATTGAATGTGCCACGACTCCAACAGGAGGCGCCTCCGCCAGTTTTTCTCCGTTCCGAGGATGGAGCTGTTGTCAAGGTCGATGGAGTGGTTCGTCTTCTCGACGTGTTCGGCCAGCGCGCTTCCCTCCACATTTTTCTTCGCGATGTCGTAGCGGTGGCGCCGCAGGCGCTCTGGATAGTTTTTCGTTTCCCCAACGTACGACGCGGGGCAGTCCCCGCAGGGAATTTTATAAACCAGTCCCTGTGCCCTCTCCCTCGGGGGGCGATCCTTTGGCAGGGGGAGAAGGCCGCCGATGGTCGAGACTGGCTTGTGTGATACCGCTATGCCGTACTGTCGCAGTACTCGGGCGAGAACCTCGCTTGTGCCCTTGATGTAGGGTACACACACGCGGGTGGAGGTTGAAGTTGAAGTTGAAGTTTCTAAGTTGAAGATTTATTAATCATTCCTAACCAGACGGATGTCCGTCGAAAATGTTTACATTTAAGTCTCTTTGCAATGACTACGGTCCTGTGGTGGTGCGGCTTGCCAAGCGATATGTTCACCTCTACAACTCCATCTCTACCGTCAAAACCCACCTCACGTTCAACAAGACTTGCAAGGAACTGCGGCTAATCCCGAAGAGTCTCCGCCTGAAGCGCCTGGTCCACAGCACCGAGGGTCACAGGATCGTCGAACAGGCCGAACGTCGTCTGCTCGACTCCAGGATTCAAGAATGCCGGGAAACTCTCAGGAAGAGGGACTTGGATCTCTTCTTTTTGCGGAGACAACTGGAATACCGTGCTCCGAAGCATTTTCCTGCCATCGACGACTTTGCCAGATCTGCTGCCACGTCGGCCGCTGAGAGAAGGAGTTCGGACCACCAGAAGAAGCTCGTATCTCTCCAATTGCGTCCCGCCGTCTCCCAAGAGACCAACAAGAGGTTCGTGAAGAATCTGTCTTCGAGAGTGCTCTCTGAGACCGAGACGCGTGTTCTGGCAAAGGGAAAGAAGTTCAACCTAACCACAACAACGCCGCCTATTGCTTCGATGGCAGCTGCTGTCGAATATGGCCTGCGTGAGTTAGACCCCTGCATCCGTGAAGAAGCTCGCCTCAAGGCCATCGGCGTGCTGTCCAAGGCGCACCAACGGGAGCAGTTAAATTACACGCCGGAAGAGAAAGCAGCCATTCAGAACTTGAGAGAAGACAAGAGCATCGTCGTCCTCCCTGCCGACAAGGGGAACGCAACCGTGCTACTCGACCGCGCGGACTACGATGAGAAGGCGCTTCAGCTTCTCAACACCGACGCATACATGATTCTGCCAAAGGACCCGACTGCCAAGATTCAGGCAAGTCTAAACAAAATGCTCTCTACGATTTTTGATGGGTATCCCGAGTCCCGAGGCCTTTACTTGGGTCTCATTTGCCGGAACGGTTCAGCGCCGGCCTTTTATGGCCTGCCGAAGGTGCACAAGCCAGATGTCCCCCTCCGACCCATAGTGGATTTCACCACGTCTCCGTTACGTGCGTTGTCCAACCATCTCCACCGACTGCTGTCGCCTTTAACCGGGAAGACCGACACGTACGTCCAAAATTCTGGACACTTCATCGAGCTCACATCGGGCCTCGAACTGCGGGACGACGAGAGCCTTGTCTCCTTCGACGTCGTGTCGCTTTTCACAAGTGTGCCTGTGCCTCTCGCAGTGTCTGTGACGCGGGAGGCCCTCTCGTCTGACACGAAACTCTCCGAAAGAACGTGCCTTGAGGTGGACGAGATTTGCCGTCTACTGGAATTCTGCCTGTCCAGCACTTATTTTTCTTTTGCTGGCGCTTCTACAGACAAACCAGTGGTACGGCTATGGGTGCTGCGGTCTCCGTAACTGTGGCAAACCTTGTAATGGAGGCGATCGAGAGAAAAGCCCTGGACACTTTCTCCCCAGCACCCGTGTGTTTCCTGCGGTATGTAGATGACTGCTTTTGTGTTGTAAAGACCAGTGAGATCGACCGTCTCCACACACGTCTCAACTCCATCGAGCCAGCGATTCAATTCACGATTGAGCACGAATCAGATGGCTGCCTCCCTTTCCTAGACGTCTGTGCAGTGAGAAAGTCCGGCCACCTGGACTTCCGTGTGTATAGGAAGCCGACACACACAGGCCGATACCTGGACTTTTCCTCAAGCCACCCTAGGACACATAAGTCTTCCGTGGCTTCGGCACTCGTCAGACGGGCGATCACGGTCTGCACATCAAAGGAGACCCTTCGAAAAGAGATCGAAACGATAAAACAAGACCTGCGGAAGAATGGCTACCCAGCTGGATTTGTAAAAAGCACGATCAAAAAAATTCGACGCACCCCTTCAACCCAAGACGCCCCCCCTCCCTCCACCCGCGTGTGTGTACCCTACATCAAGGGCACAAGCGAGGTTCTCGCCCGAGTACTGCGACAGTACGGCATAGCGGTATCACACAAGCCAGTCTCGACCATCGGCGGCCTTCTCCCCCTGCCAAAGGATCGCCCCCCGAGGGAGAGGGCACAGGGACTGGTTTATAAAATTCCCTGCGGGGACTGCCCCGCGTCGTACGTTGGGGAAACGAAAAACTATCCAGAGCGCCTGCGGCGCCACCGCTACGACATCGCGAAGAAAAATGTGGAGGGAAGCGCGCTGGCCGAACACGTCGAGAAGACGAACCACTCCATCGACCTTGACAACAGCTCCATCCTCGGAACGGAGAAAAACTGGCGGAGGCGCCTCCTGTTGGAGTCGTGGCACATTCAATGCACACGTGGCAACATAAACCGGTCGACGGGGACCCTTCCCAGCAGCTACGTTTCGGGGTTAAGAGGGATAATCTGGAAAACACCCGGGGGTGTTCGGGTTCGTGGGCAGGCCGTTCCGCGGGACAAAAACAGTCACCTGTAATCAAGGGACCGAGTTGGTTCCGAAACGTCGGGATTTTTGCTTTTTAATAAAGCTTGGTTAGAGTTTCTAAGTTGAAGATTTATTAGGTTTCTTATTTGAACCATATATCTATTTTCACTAATTAAAATAGTTAATGAACATATCTTACTTAATACACCGAATGATCGTTGCGATTAGCCTCCTATGCTCTGTACCCCTGGCGGAATAACTCACCTGCACAAACTGCATAAGTGTAGCTTTCAAAGCTGTTTTTTCTAACAACTGTGGTAAATAAAAAGAACATAAAATAATTTGACATTCTGCAAAAAAGTTGCGTTGTTGATCGTTTCGAGGATATATTTATGTGATTGTTACTCTTTCAGGAGTATGTTGCAACTTAGCAAAATGCAGCTAGTAGCTTTCACCGTGGTGCTCATTCTACCAGCACTTCAAAGCGGTAAGTCGAATTAAAGAATTAGAACTGGAACAAATATATATTCCGTGTGATCCTCCTGCAGATATTTTCCTGTGATTGGCGCCATCGTTTTGTGTTTTCTTTTTTTAGCGACGTTAGCCATTTTAAGCAACGGTTTAGAAAAGGGGTCTCCAAACTTTTTGGCCTAGGGTCCTTCCCCTCCCTGCGTCCTCCTTTGTGACATCACTGGGGAAGCTCGTGACGTCACTCGTGATAGCCTCGTGAAGTGAAGGTCACAACTTTCACGTGACCTTCACTTTGAACTTCACTCGTTACCTTCACGAATGACCGTGACGTCACGTGTGACGTCATTATGGGAAACGTCCCATGATGCAACGCGTGGGTACCCGCTCGTTGCATCATGGGACGTTTCCCATAATGCAACGCGTGGTTACGTCGTGACGTCACTCGTGACCCTCGTGACGTCACATGTCAGGTCAATATGGGAAACATCCCATAATACAACGCGCGGTTAGGCTGACGGCGACGCCGCTCAAGCCGGAAACGGCCGCCTGAGAGCTGCGCTCTAAAAACAAAGGTAAATCGAATGATTTCTTTTTGTTTATTTAGGCTAAAAATGAGCTGCTGACACGACTCAGAGAGCTATAGTATTTTCATGCCAACTATTTTATTTTTCAGGGGGGTTTTTGTCTGGTACAGACATTTACGAGGAGTGCATGGATATTCTTATTGCATGCGGAGAGATGGCATGCCGACTCCAAGGATTTGGTGTAAGTATTAAAGGCATGGAATACAATAAAATACAAAGTAGTTATTTTTTAAATAATCTGAGGCGATACCCTAATTCTTATAATGCAGATCGTTTAAAAGCGTTGTTTAAGGTGTTGCGTTAGGTGTGAAATCCCGTACGTTAGGAAACACAATCCGGCCGATTTAAGAGATATATCACATAAACATAGGGGCACTTTAGTGAAAATACCCGAGATATATTTTTATAGCGTAATTTCTACTGGTGTCAGGTGACGCATCTAATTTGAGAAGAGTCTAAACTCCTATACTTGAGCAATCCAGACGAGTTTTATTTTGAATTTAAACTTTGTCTTGTATAAAATGTTTAACTAGGCAACAAACTGAAACAACGTTGTTTCTTTTTGTTTTAATAAAAATGAGTGCAACTATTAACCCACCATTTTTCGCATTGCTGTATGCCTGAAGTTTGTACTGTTCATATCGTTTTTCTCCCAATAATATCACGCTCACTTTTGTCATGAGCACGAACGACAAGATTATGTAACATCAGGAAAATCGAACAAAGCTCTTCGGTAGGATGCAGTTTGAAACAACCCATTTCTGCTTTAACCCTTGACGTTTCAAGTCGCTCAAAAAATTCCATTTGCTTTCGAACCCATCTTTATACGACCCATTACGAAAATGCCCTCTACATCTCAGCCTTTTTTTCTAACAGTCTTCTGCCTCTGCCTTTCGTCTGAATACCTTTCATGTTCAAAAAGTTGGGTATATAATTTTTGTATTGAAACGCATTCTAAAACATGCGTTTCCTTCAAATACTTGTCCACGGGGGGTATTTCATATTAGCCACATTTTTTTAAACTAGTTATTGAAAATAACCTCTGATATACACTTCTGTGAAGCAAACTTTGCGCAATAAGAAATGTTTTATCGGTGATATGTCAGACTTCGGGGAAGACAGGGAGTTTATTTTCGTTTTACGTTCTCGGGCACGGCATCCTTGTGCACACACAATATTTAGAGACCAGAACATGCCTTTGACTTGTGCGGGAAATCAAACAAAGAAATTAGCCCGTCAGAAAGTTGACTGTACAGTTTGAATAGTTTGCAAGCTTTGCTGGTCCATTTGTTCTCCCTGGCCTGCATGGCACCAATCATTTGCAAGTTGCAGCAAAGATATCATTTTGAAGGCCTCATCCATCTTGATGAAGTAAGTGAAACTAAATAGTCGGTTAGGCGCTCCCTGACATTTTGTTCATTTTTAGGCGCCACGACTCCATGCAGTTTTTAGTCCGTGGTCCTCTGTTTTCATGGTAGTTCCACTGTTCAGTGGCAGACTTTGGATTCATCCTGTAGCCATGGAAAAAATCAAGAGCATTGGTGACGCCTGAAACACCGAGAGAGCTGCCTCCCGGCGCAAAAATTGCCACGCACGCTGTACGACGGAAGCTGGGATGAATGTCTGTGGCTCTAATAAGTAACCAAGTCGTATCGTTCTGCCCGTACTCCATTTGCAGACCGGCTCTATCGCACTGCCGCCCATAAACGCTTCTTGAAATTGAAATGATAACATCAATAAATTTCTGTCGAAAAAAAAAACAAAAACACCTAGCAAACCTGCAATCAATGTCGGTTCGAAGTACGTGGAAAAAAGTTCAGGATCGGGGAACATGATACCTGCAGCGGTGAACAAATCCCTCAAGTTTTGTAATGCACGGGTATTTGTCTTACGACATTAGCCGGATAAGAATAAGTACACTGCAGGTGACTGTTTGCCATCCCAGATGACGTAAATTGTCGACAGTTGGTCACAGATTTGGGATATAACAAAAAAGTGAAAGCCGTTTACAACTCCCTGTAACACCGAATTAGAGCGCAGCTCTTGATTAGGAGGAGGGAAGGGTACTGGCGGGGGGGGGGGGGGTCAAGTGACCTGGGGGGGGGGGGGTCACGTGACCTTGGGGGGTCACGTGACGATGCCGATGATGCCATCAGTGACGTCACTGATGATGTCATCAGTGACGATGACGATGCGGATTCAGATGACGTCATCAGTGCCGTCACTGATGACGTCATCCGTGATGATGACGATGACGATGCGGATGCCGGTGACGTCATCAGTGACGTCACTGATGACGTCATCAGTGATGATGGCGACGACGATGCGGATGCCGGGGACGTCATCAGTGACGTCACTGATGACGTCATCAGTGATGATGATGATGACGATGCGGATGCCAGTGACGTCATCAGTGACAATGACGTCATCGGGGAGGTCACGTGACCTCGCGTCCAGCGTCGCACTATTTGTGTTATCACTTGACACGACACGCCAGAATTGCTCGGATCTATTTGGGTAAGATTTCAAACACAGCCCTTCCCTTTTACCGTTTTCGGGATCTGAATTCGAGAAGCGGAGGACTTGAGCGATTGACCGACAGCCAACAGAGCTTCTGAGTGGCTGTCCGGAACCACGTGATCAGCATGGTCAAGGCCCCCGTGAAAGGCACGGGCGACCTTTGACGAAACAAACTTCTCCTCCGAAAAAAACAAAACAAAAAACAGACGGAAGCGGACAATGGCACGTTTTATGTCGGAGTCGTGTTGCCTCACCATTTCTGAAGCATCTTGTTTGGACGGGCCTAGCTTTAGCGAACAAGATTAAGCGATCCACAAGTGTCAACGAAGGCGTGTTCATACAAGAACCAAAAACCAACAGTAGGTTGGAAAAACTTTCCATCCAAAAAGCAGTGCAGCTCTCCTTTACATATATTGCACGCCTCCGAAGCAATTTTACATAAACCTCTAAATTTACTTTATATCTACACAAATATTTCCGAAAGCTCATCATTCCCTTGTCTCATGTCGGTACGTTTTCCGCAATCACTTCAAGACGTTTTCTTGGAATGAAGTTATGTTCTTTTAGTTGATGATCTGAAAAAAGAAACTTCACGGTCGCCCTAATAGAAGGATCTGGGAGCACGATGTACAGTTGTAAAGCTCGTACACACTTGACTTCAAAGTTTTCATTTTACAAAAAAATGTTGACCCACTGAAACATACTGGAAGACGTATGTTATCTTGGGAAAATAGGGAAGGGAGTCAGCAACTTCGGGATCACAATATTCGAAACAAACCTTGCTCTGTTTAAAAAACAAAGCCACATTTTTTTTATTTATTGTACTTTTTAGACTTCTGAAGCACGAAATAATAAATAAAAGTCTCTTCAGTAACGAGATAAATTGTCCTGGGATTGTATCGCGATACAAGGAATACACCAAAAGTGTATTCCGATACTGGAATACAGATACCTATTGAAAATTGTATCGCGATACAAGAATATAAATACTAAAATTATTTCTGAAATGCTATCGTGATACAATTTATCGCGATACTTCCCAATCCTGCCAAGGCGCAACTGAACCCAACAAGCTCGCACTTGTATTCGCCATTGTGCAGGGATTCCAAAGATTCCAACTGAAGCCACATCTTCAAAAGGGGTCTATCCTTACTGATCACAAAGGCAGCTGGCTTCAAGTCTACAGACGCCAAGCTAGCTCGTTTTTTTTTCTATACACTGTTCGAACGTGAATGCCTGCGTCGGGCATCCAAACGCGTCGGGCATCCAAACAATGACGAGAGACAAAGGCATTCCCACAAAGCTTTGCGTCTATCCTTTATTCATTCCAACTAGAACTAAAGCTGACAGAAAAGAAAAAGAAAGTTAAAAAAAAAATATCACGAGAACGTCCGCCGAAAGCCACAAGGGATGCCGCGAAAACACCTTTTAATGCGAAAGCATTAACTGTATTGTGGAGCCTATACGCCTCGCAAGTGGGCTCATTTTCGTCTTCTGCGCATGAGAAAGGAAGTAGCGGAGACGTCAGAACGCCGAGCCCTGATTGGCTGATCGCGACCCCCTATCTCAGCGTCGTCTGCCCATTTGCAACGTCATCTGCTCGCAACATCGTCTGCGTCTGTCTTACCTTTCCTGCGACTTTCGGAAGTGCAGGTCTTTACGAGCGAACTCGACTTCGCCTTTCAGAGAGGGCAGAGGAAATAACTCGAGCGGTACGTTGTTTTTGTCTAACAACTAGCCGACGCGCATCAAGGAGGGAAGTCAAAGGACTCACTGGCGAGGTGTCCCGACTACCGAGGCGCCGAGGTTTGCTTGCTAAGAACCGAGAGTGAGCGTGTTAGTGTCCGCAAGTTCCCTCCCAAATACTTTTTCCCTCCATTCGTGTGCGGCGAGACCCCTTACTCTTTAACAGCGTAGGCGGGTTGGCGCAGTTAACGTCGTCTGCTTTACGTCTGCTAGTCAACGCGATGGCTGCTTTACCTTTCCTGCGTCTGTTGGAGATTCACCGCTTTTTCACCGGCGAGTCACCGTTTCCTCGGGAAACAAGGAGATAACAAGAGGAAGAAATTGACCTGTTAATCTAAAATTGAGGTCAGCGATCAAAGTATAATACGGGAAGGGTTCACAAGGGTCGCGCGGGCATATTCCCTTCAGCACGCCAGCCGGTCATGGGCAAACGGTCACCGAGTCGCGGAGTGCCTGCTAGACCTAACTGCCGAGCTCGCTTGGTCGCGTTTGGTGGAACCCTGGCCGTTGGAGCTTTTCCCGGGTGTTTGTGGATCCAGCGTTCTTGTTTGTCGTGGTCTGTTTCAAGTACTTTTTACTTTTTTTCTTGCTGCTTGAAGTCGCAACGCGTGAGAAGCGCACGTAGAGAAATAAACGTCCGTGGGTCGTCGCGACCGCGACGCTGTCGGCCATGCTGATTTGATCGTAAGAAGTGCGTAAGACAGCTTCGGAGCTGTCGTAGGATTTCGTCGTAACCTGCGCAAAACTTACGAAAATTTCGTTTCGTGAATACGAATTTGTTCTTAAGTTTTGTCTTACGCACATTTGTGGCGTAAGATCGTTTCATGAATCTGGCCTCTGCACTTCCGAAAGTCGCAGGAAAGGTAAGACAGACGCAGACAACGTTGCGAGCAGACGACGTAGCAAAGGAGCAGA